TAGGTCTAGACAATGGGATGATAAAAAAACAAAAACCCTTCAAGCAGGGAACAGAGATCTGGAGGAATTAAATACTAGAGAGACTTCAGGAAGGAAAATTCTGGAGACTTCTGGAAAAGCTGCTATGACCTGGTCAGTAGGTGGGGGAAAGGGGATAGATAAAAACTCCTTGCAGGAAGGAGGAAGGTCTCTTTTGTGCTGAGTCCATCAGAGCAGGCAGAACTCTTAACTGAGATTTGGAGGAGGTAGCTATTAACCATGTGTTGGCCAGAGGAGCTGAAGGAAACTTCAAGTTAATGGAACTTTGTAGAGATATTTAACTTCCTAAACTGAAGAGCCTGTCCTATATTTTAACATCTGGTAGGGCATGTATAGAGAGAAGGACAGAGCAATTGTGTTTTTGAATCCCTTGTTCGGACTGGTGCTGTGCTAAAAGTATGCTTGTGAACATTTTCTTTTTAATAAATACTTTATAACTGTGGGTGCTGACAGTGGTTTTCTGTACCACATAGACCTCCACTGTCTTGGCCACACTATTTTAAAAGGAGCACCAGGGGGAAAGTAGTCAATTGGCAAGTGGCTATTCCTCCAGTGGCTCCTCCTGCAGGCCAGAGCAAGCCCATTCCAACACAGGTGTTAAAGAATGCTACCACATTAAGAAATTTGTGTGAGACACATGCTTTTGTTAAGTCAGCAGACACTGTTAGTACTACTAGACAAGTGGAATGAATTTATTGAGCTAATTCAATAAATATCAATACAATGTGTTAAATCTCTCAGATGACTTCCTTACTGGCTGACTTCAGTTACTGTCTGGGAGGGGGGGATCATGACCGTCCTAGTGTTATCAAAACACTAAACACACCTGATAAAACTTCTACTGGCCTAACACCCTGTATTAATGACTTACTGCTCTTTCATATCAGCTATAGCAAATAACAATCCAAGAAAGATTTCATAATAGGCTGGTAGTTTGTGTTAGCTGTGTGATTGAAATATTATAGAGAGCCATTTTATTACATCATGGGAACCATCTATATATCTAATTCTCAACAGTCCCCTCTGCCTGCAGATACTTATTTCCGCAAACAGAGGGCACACTCTCCCCCAACAGGTTTTTCTACAGACTCAGGGGACTCTATGGGTTTGCAGAAAAATCCAAAAAGTTTTTTAAAAAAAGACTCGGGGAGGGTTGAATCCCCCCCCATACCTTTTGAAATGGCCACTGCAGGGATCTACTCCAGGCCTTATCGCATCAACAGTGAGAAATAGACTGGCTGATAGCCAGACAGAGGCAGAGAAAGATAATTAGTGGGGGAAGAGGGGAGGAAGCAAAAGCAGAACTGGAGCTGGGATTGGGGAGGATTCTTCCTGCAGTATGAACGGCTAAATAGCAGGGGGATGTTTTAAAAGGACATCTGAGTTTCTCACCCCTACCTCTTTTGCTGTGGGCTCCACTGTCCTCTTAAAACTTTTTTTTTGGGGGGAGAGGCTTCTAACTGCTTTTCCCCCCTCACCAGCTCGAGAAAAACTGACTGGCTGAGAGGGAGTGAGAGACAGAGAGAGATAATGGTTGTGGGAAGAGGAAAGGAAGCAACAGCAGAACTGGAGCTGGGACTGGGGAGAACTCCTCGCTGCCACTCGCCCATTTCCAATGCTGTTTTTCCTGCAGTATGTATGGCTAAATAGCAGGGGGAAGTTTTACAAGGACATCTGAGCCTGCAACTGCAAAGCCTTGCAAGCTGGAGAGAAGGATCATTCTCACCCCAGTCTCTGTAGCTTTGGACTCCGCTGTCCTTTGAAACCATTCTCCCCAGCTTCTAACTGCTTCTCTCCCCCCCCCCCACCAACCTGGGCACTGCTTCTTCCCACTGCTTCTCTCTTTTGACTGACTAGAAACCAGAGGGATTCAGCCACTGACAGAAGAGACACCCTCACTTCTGCAGGAGTATACCGCATACCCTGCAGTTGTGGACAGGTTTACGCAACATTTTGTTGCAGCTCCCCACTTGTTATCTTACTGTTTCTAGAAAGCCCAGCAACAACACATTCCATCCTCCACTCTCTGTGCTGTTCCATCTCCGACAAAAATCTGTACTCTATTACAAAATGGCTGACATCTGGTTCACATTTGTGCAACTGTGCTGGCCATGGCTTTGACCAATGCATATCAGAATAGTTAAAGGGAGGGAAAAAACCACATCACAGTTTTACTTTTGGGGAAGTCAATGTTTTCTTGAGAGATCAATAGGTGTAAAGTTCTGTGATGAATATCACCACACCACATCCTGGTTTCAGTCTTTCATAGCAACTCTGTTATGTGGTTACTGCAATCACACTGTGGGAGACAGGGTGGGTAGGCATCT